GGCGGGAGCCCAGCGGCGGCAGGAATGCGGAACCGGCGCGCGGGCTGACCGCCGGGATGGCGCAGAGGCGACAGCGGCGGGCGGGCTGCGCCGGGCCCTAGCGAGCGCGCACGAGCCCGGGCCGGCTCGGCACCGCGGCCATGGCCAAGGAGCCGCGCAGGGCGGTGCAAGAGCTGCTGCGGTGGCCGGGGAACACACGCTGCGCCGACTGCGGAGCCCCAGGTAGGCGCGGGCCGAGGGCGCGTGTCGGGGGATGCGGGCGCGGCCCGGCTAAGCGCAGGTGCGATGGTTGTTGCTCAAGTGGATGCGACTCGGGTGGATACGGGCCGGGCGGATGCTCCCGGTGAGCGCGGGATTGTCCCCGGTCTGGTGCAGTCTAGGCGGATGCGGGGCGGCTGTCGGATCGAGGGTACCCCAGGTTTCTCGAGTACCCGGCGCCCACCGGGTGGGGCGCGGCCGCAGCGCACCTGCCCGAGGACTCGGCCGAGGGCGCCTCCCCTCCCCCGCCCCGCGGCGTGTGTCGCTGTCACCCGCGCGCCGCCGCCTTGCGAAACTCCGGGCTCCTCAAAGAAAGAGGAAATCGCCAGGGTGGCTGGCTGCAGGGAAGGAACAACCGGCCGCCGAGGATCTCCCCCGGGGCGGGGGTCCCCCAGGCTCTCCGGTACCTGGAGGTGACGTCATGGCGCCCTCTTTCGGCCTGCGGGTAGGGGGAGGAAGCCCTGCTCGCCTTAGGGAAGGGTATGAGAAGGTTCCCCCTTTCCAGCTCCCTGCCTCTGAGATGGTGCAAGGAGCAGGTAGGGTCCCGGGTGTATCTGCGTCGACATCGTGCAGCCCGACACTCCCAGGCTTTGTCCCTTGGTCGCCCCTTGCCTGGGAGATTTCTGAGCCTGCACAGTCCAGCAGGTCTGATGGTTGTGTTCCTGGGCCAACCCTCTCCGCTCTTGGCTGGCTGCCTTAGACCAGTGCTTGTCTGTGAGGTGAGGGGGTCCCCTAAGCTTCACCTTCTCCTGCCCCCACAGTGGAGAGGAGCCCATTCAGGGGCTGGCCTCCAGGCAACCGGGAACCCAGGGCTTCCAGCCTCCACCTCACAGGACAGACTTCTCACTACAGGGTGTCCGAGGTCCCTTGTGTAGCCCCTTATACACTGAGGTGCTGACTGGTGACCTCATCCTCCAGATACCCTGGAGTCGGTACTCCCATCCCCAGCTCTGTGAATCTTTTTGACAGCCCAACTTTCTAAGGGTCTGATGGTGAGTTGCAGTGTGATCCTTGGGGACACACGACCAGCTTTCCTGGGAAGCCAGGCAGGCTGAGGTGGCCTTTTCCCTGGCCTGCTGAGGGACTCTGCTGATGGTGGTGGGGCTGTGCTTGGCCTCAGCCCAGACACTGCACTTTTCCCCTGGCTCTGATTTTCTACTGCTCAGGAGCACTGGGGGAGGAAGGGCAGACAGCGAGGTCAGCTCTCAGCCTGGCTGAGGGTTCTGCCCAGGGAGGGGGCTGGCCTTGTTCTGTCCTGGCTGCCTGGGAGCAACTTCTCCATGCAGACCCACTTGGGAGCCACCCCCAGCCTCACAGCCTGGTGGGAGGAGGAGGCTTCCTTGCCTGTCAAGCCCACAGGCCCCTGCCCCTTGCCCAGCACACCCACTTAGTGTCCCACTGGCCCCTTGGCCCAGGCCATTGGCTGTAGCAACCTGTCGATACTGGAGCCCCAGTTGGGCCTCTCTGTGCCCCGCACTTCCTGGCACTAGGCCAAGTCACTGGTTTTCAGAGTTGGTCTATGATATCAGCAGTTTTCGTCATTGACTGGCCTGCTCAGGGCAGCAGCAGATCCTGGAGGTTGCTTATCTTTTCCAGCTAAGGAAACTGAGGCCATCTAAACAGGGCTCCTCTAGGGGATGTGGTAACCTAAGGCAGACCCAGCCTCCTGGTGCTCAGCCTCAGCTGGCCCACATCACCAGTGCCAACCTTCCATCTTCTTGGCCTTGCCTTGCCCCAGGCTATGGGCACATCCTGTCTCTTCCTTATAACCCTGTGGCATGTCCACACAGGCTGCCTCTTGGTGGGAACTGGGCTACTCTGGCTGTGCCTTGTGCTGCTGTGGGGTGCAGCAGGGTCCCCTCTGTCTCTGCTGTGCACAGATGGGTTGTGAAGGCAGTTTTGGCATTGGTGTGTGGGGAAAAAGACCAGTGTATTTTTGTCTGTCATCAGCACCATCCTGTGGACCTGACCATTCCTAGGGAGCAAGATGTCCCAAGAGGGTCCCCTAACATCTCTGGATGACAAGACCTCAGGCCATCTCTAACTACCAGGCCAAGGCCTGGGGTACACTTGAGAAGAACCCACCCCACAGAGACTCCTAAGCCCTCCACCTTGTCAGCCCCAACAGTGGGTTCCCCTAACCTTCAACTTCTGGGTCCAGCCTACAGCTCCCAGAGACCCTTCTCCTGTCACAAGCAGACCAGGGTGGGTGTGCTTGGGCCCTCCTTTCCTGAAGGGGACTCTAGTGAGAATCTTCCTCCTGGTGAGGGCTGCAGGAGAGAGGAAACCTCTGTGCCCACTGGGCTACCCTCTCAAGAGGACTGGGTGGGTGGGTCCTGTGAGCTACAGGTCGTCTGATGCTGTGGAGGCTTGGGTGTTACAGCTTTTGGGGTTGGTGGGCGTGGGTGGGAATCCTGAGGTTCTTTGATACTAATACCTGGAGTATCAGGAGAAACCAACACCAAGGAGCCCTGGCTTGCCCAGCCTAGAGGTACAGTTTAACCCCTGCTGTCAATGAAACTAGATGTGGTGGTCAGGAACTGCTACTCATGCTGGACTTGAACCCCCACATCTGGGTAGGACATGAGGCGTGGACAGAAGGATCTTGGGCCCAGTTGTTGAGTCTGAGGGATCTGGGAAATGCTGCAGGCCTAGAACATGAGCTTATGCAGCCCTAGGGCTTTGGGTTAGAGGTGACAACTTTCTAGTAGAGGCATCTGTATGAGAGACTTCAAGACTTTGGCCTGGCTTCTGGGAGAGTCCATGTGTGTGGGGAGGGAGATTCTGAGAGGAGGGAGGTGGGTGCTGGCCCTGGGCATGATCAGCAGGAGCTTCCCCAAGATGGCGAAAGTGGCCAGGGCCCCTGGGAAGCCGTGCCCTCAGAAGTGTGGATGCCTGCATGGAGGTGGGGCAGGAAAAGACTTCTGGGCCCGTGGAAGCAGGGATGCTCTCGGGCAGGTATTCTGGGGTTCTTCTAGAAAGGGAACAAATCCTCAGCCCTCAGGGAAGCCTCAGTTTAAGGGCAGGAGGATCATGAGGTTCACCCATGCAATTTCTGCAGGTCAGCGGCTGGGAAGCCCTGGGAGACTAAGGACCTAGGGTCTTCGCCACAGCCTTGTAGGGGAGTCTGAGGGTCTCAGGGTCTCAGGTATTCGGAGGGCTCTGGTGGGGGAGTCTGGGGTATCAGTTGTCAGACAGGACCTGGACAGGCAGTGGTGAGGGCAGTCAAGGGGACAGGGCAGAGGGAGGCAAGAGCTGGCCATAGGTGCTGGCTGATGGGACCATGCAGGCCTGGTAACTGTTGTAGGGCCCAGTTGTGGGTGCGCAGAAGTCGCAGGGGTGCAGGCCACAGAGTCATGGTGCAGGATGGGTGGCTATCACCAAGGCAAGGCCTGGTACAGCCATACGCTTGCTTGAGGCAAGGAGGGCAGGGAGCCTAGCGCAGCACGTAAGCCCTGGAAGATGCTGTGGCGGCCAGACCCATGCGTCAGCATTTATGTATTTCTTTCTGCTTTTCTAAAACTTGAGACAAAACTCACATAGCATAAAATTAACCATTTGAAAGTGAAAATCCAGTGGCATTTAGAACATTTACAGTGTTGTACAACCACCACCTCTATCTAGTTCCAAAAATACAGCATTTGCAACCAGGAACGCTGATGAGATGCTCAGGAAGGGGCCCAGTCTGGCCTGGGGGTGTCTCAAGGGTGGAAGAGGGGAGGGGGCCCCACTGGGGAGCCTGAGGGAGGTGCGGTGGGGGTGTGTGCAGGGAGGAACTGTGAAACAGGTGTCTGCTGGGAACGCTGCCCACAGGAAGGGGCCCCTGAGCAGCCCCGCCTCCGTGGGGAAGGGCCTGGGGCTGGCAGAGGTGTGTGCCCGCCTGGCAGAGAACAGGGATGAGCAGAATGACAGATACCGTGACCGAGCACCCTGGAGGGTGCAGCACATGGTCTGGACCTCGTGGCAGAGTGGGAGACAGTCACATAGGCACCCCACACCCCAAGGGCTGTGCTGTAGGATCTGGAGCCCCACTCTAAGGAAGTCATCCTGCCAGGGTCCTCCTTCCCGCCCAAGCTGCCTGCCTCGCTGGCCTGGATCTGGTGGACCCAGTGTCCCTCCTGCCCTCGGCTATTCATCCTCTCTGGGACGGCAGAGGTCTCTGGAGCTGGGCCCGGGGCTCTGCCACACTGTTCTATAGGGAGGGTCAGTTACTTCCCTTCCGTGGTGCCTGGACCTTGGCCCAGGGAACACACCTGTTTCTCTCAGCTTGGTTCCAAGATGTGCCCCACCTGCCCAAGTACCTTTGACCAGCTCCCGGAAACAGGAGGACTGAGTCACAGTGGCTCACCAGGGAGAGGCAGGGCAGAGCTGGGGCAGAGGGAGGAGGGTGAGGCTGTCCTTGGGGACCTGGGCTCATCCCCTCCACCACACCTTCCTGCCCCTGGCCCTGACCACCCCTGGGCCCTGGGTGCCTCCTGGTCTTGTGGCCTGTCCCAGAGTGACCTTTTGCTGACTGCAGCCCACTGAACAGGGAACCTGGGAGTCCTGGACACCCTGAGCCCCCTCCTTGACCAGCAGGAGAGGCAACAAGAGGAACCTGGACCTAGGGAGGGGGTCCTGTAGTATCCCACCACCTGTCCTCAACATGGCCTCTTCCACCCTGGACACGTCAGGGAGCCCCACCCTGCCCTGTGGGTCTCCTTGCTCTGATGGGCTTGGAATGTACACAGAAAAGGAAGCCCACCAGCCCAGCTTTGTTTTTTGTTTGTTTGGTTGGTTTGTTTTGTTTTGTTTTTGAGACAGGGTCTCACTATGCAGTTTGGGCTGGCCTTGTGCTCACTTTTGTAGCCCCTGGGCTGGTCTCAAACTTGCAGAGATCCTCCTGGCTCAACCTCCTGAGTACTGGGATCACAGGCATGCATCACTGTGCACCCCGTATACACAGTGGGCGCTTGTATATGGGG